TAGTTTTCTTTTGCTTTTGCTGCCAAATTGGACAGCATGTATAGACTTTTGTCAACTGATAACGAAATCTGTGCTACTGCATAGCTTTAGAGGTCTCCACAAAAGGCATCGGCAGTGATGAAGAAGGTCAGCAAGGTGCCCTTCCAAGCCCAAATTTGTTGCTTATTGAACAAGGAGCTCAGGTTCTCTTCCAGAGCATTTTGTGGAGATCTTGGCTCTTTTAATGAACGAAAAGCCTTCAGCGAATGCGCTGCCATCTGTTTCTAACTTGGCAAACACCTCATCCTGTTACTAGGCGCTACGACTCCTTGGAGAGAGCCTCAGCTGCCGGTCTTTTGCTCTGCCTTATTTGCTGCACCTTGGCAACATCAAGCACTACTATGCCTTTCTGACAAAGTGGAAAGTGGACATAGTGGTAATTATGCTGTTGTGGATCTAATGAAGTTCAATGCAGGGTAGAGAGGGAGAATAGAGCCCGCTCTGAATTCATCCCAATCAGGGCACCTCGTACGTTGGTGATCTCCAAGAGATCATTCTCCCGCAGAAAAGTGTTTAGTGCTCTTGACTTTCCTGAGGCTTTGCTCTTTCGAGTGCGCTATGTGCTCCCCAATCCCCTCCGCCGCAACTAGTGCAACTTTGGTTATAAAAAAGTAGAGGAAGTTTCAGGAATTTCCGGGGTAAAAAGGGGAGGTTCGAAAAACTCACGAAGATGGTTTGTAGGAATGTGGAGGAGAGTTTGAGAAGTAAGCTTGTATTATGCAAAGTTCTCCTCCCCCATTTGCAAGACCTGCTCTATTCACAGCGTAGATATTGGAGGTCCATTCCACACGATTTTCTCTCCAGCCCCTCTTAATTGAATTGCATGCCACCCATTTACTCATTACGGAAGACGTTCATTTCCATTCTTCTTCCAGTCCGAGAGCAAGATGAACCAGCATAATGAGGTAGTGACTAAGAGTGGATTCTGCGCATTCACTCCTCTCGGAATGGGCCATGCATTCCAGTCCCTT